GATAGAAATACCTACTGCAACTAGCATGTGATCATTTGATACATTTAATAAAAAGAAAAAAAAAGAGGAGGGGCAGGGATTCTCATTCTTGGATCACTTCTATACCAGCAGTGCTACCTTAATTACTTTGAACATTTTAATGCATATTGTCCTCTTCTAAATACTTCTGCATATATTTTCTGATATATTGCTACTTCTATCATTCTTGCAGAAGAAGTATGAAATTAAAATTAATAATGGCTTTTATGGATATTCGGGCAGTGTTATACCACAATATTCACATTTACAGTTACCATCAAGCTAATTGATGGGATGCTGATTGCTTTCAGTTTCTAACCCAACAGAAGTTGTATTAGTATAGCTTCTCACAGAAGCATCTATCTATATCAGAATATAAACTTGCTCAACTTAAATATGATAAGGTAGCTTACTGAGCCATTGCAAGTAGAGTACAACCTTATTATAACAACTCCCACTTTTAGCAGTCTCAACAGCAGGAACAAATATTTTTCATTATTATGATGGTGCAAATTGACAGATCCTATTGTAGCTAACATCCTATTTTAATGAAGTTTTCTCTTCATTCTACCAGGGGGTCTTTATAATGGATTTGTACTGTATTAATACAGAGCTAAAGAACCTCTTATATAACCACCTCTAAAAGCCTATTACCTTACACTGTTTAGCTGAATTCATTGGAGGAGGAGAGTGACCTTAACACTTGTGCAGGGGTGCTAGCAATCCTATGCATTAAACTTTATCAAATCTTTTCAGAGCGTGGGGACCATGCCCCAGAGCCCACGACCAAGACCTTCTGTTCACAGCAACTCACACCATCTCTTTTCCCATTTATAGTTTTAGAACTACTGTTTTAAATGCCGGTTTTGGGTCATATAGTGGGCAATATAATGTGGCACATAATTACTGTATTATTAAAATAGGCAAAGGACCCAAATCGTATTCTATACTAACTGCTAAGTGGTGAAAGAGGAACTCAGATTGCTTGGGCTCAGATCTAGTGTGATGAGGTCACTGTTTCAATGCCAAGCTTTTAGATAGTGGGCTAGGAATAGAATTCACATCCCTGAATTCGGTGCTTAAGTCTCCTATATAATGAATATAGAGAGAGAGGCAGGCACCTCACATGGATTTTTATATAGTACCCAGCAAACTGAGTAGAAAGGTGCCATAGCCTTGGCAATAGGAAGTGCAGGAGAAAGACGTGTCTGCAGTCCCAACCCCTTTTGGGCAATTTCTTGGGCAAATACCGTTTTCATTATTATGGTGGAGTAAATTGACCGACTGTAGCAAGCATGCTCTTTTAAAAAAACTTTCTTGGGGTTGAGTCTGACACCCTTGAGTTAGAGACAGAGGTGTCAGACTCATCTGACACGTCAGGCCAGATGATGGGTGTGGGGCTGGTCTTTGGAGTTGGTTTGAACCTGCTGACGCATGCGCCCAAGTCAGCTTGCAGGGCTGGTTCCAGTCTGTGGACCAAATCTGTGACACCTCAGCTCTAACATAAAAGGTGGGCACTGTAACCACCTCCCTTTGCTCGAGCCATGTTTTTGAATGAAAGTGAAGCAGTTGCCGTTAACAGCTGAATTCAGTGCTGCTGTTGTGCATTAGGTGCGCTGTGAGCTCACCTATCACATAGGGCAGGGGTGGGTAAAATGTGGGCCAGGTGTGGCCCATCAGGCTATTCTGTCTGGCCCGTGGGGCCCCTCAAAAATTGAAAAAATTAATATTTATTTGCCCCTGGCTGCCTGTCATGCAGCCCTCTGGCTTGCCAAAACTCAGTAAGCTGCCCTCCATCCAAAATAATTTCCTGCCCTGAGATCGGGTCTCCCAGGAAACTCATGCTAAGTGATTGTGAATGAAACCTGGTGAGTGATATGGATGGACTTGGCTAACCCAACATGACAGCAGTGCCAGGTACATACGGTAGATAAACTTTTAAGCTTTCAAGAAACTTAGTTGCCTGTAATGACTAAGGCCACCAGTTAGTCAGGGTTTTTAATCAATTCAGCACTTAAGCAAAATTTTGGAGCCTAAGTCCAAGTCTTCTGCATCTGGTCCTTAAACTAAAGCTTGCCCATTATGCTGTATACAGTTAGTAAGTCTTTTTATTAAAAAATACTTTGAGCATCTTTTTTTATAGTTTATATGTGATACATTTATTTATTTATTACAGCTTGCAAAGTTTGCAACTAGCAAAATAAATATTAATATGCCTGTCACATCAGAATTATTTAAAAATACTTTATATCTTTTAATTTCTGGGGAGGACAAGTACTTTCTTATGTCAGAATATTAGAAGTTGTTTTTGTAAATTTTAGCATGATTGATTTCTGTAGTAAATATGCCATATTTACACAAATTTAAGATGGCTTTGAATTGAAGACAACTCCCAATAATTAGTTTCCACATGTGGAAAGTTTTATTAAAATTTTCTTTTACGTAGAGTTTAATTATTGGAGGGGCATCTTAAATTGCAGCGGGGCAAGCAGCAGTAGCGGGACAGGTGGTAGAGTCGTCAAGTGGCCTAACTCCTTTCCCTTGTTCCCTGGCATCTGTTCCCCCCACACCTTGTCCCCTGCTGTCTGTTTCCCCCGTCACTTGTCCCCCATGGCTACATCCCCCTTTGCTTGCTCCCTGACTGCCACTGCCCCACTATTAACTCTTCTTCCCTCCCCCTGTCATTTATGCTACAGCTCTGACTCTGGCACTAATTTAGGCTGAGACATGGAGCATGTGGCCACTCCAGCCCTGGCCCTCATTCTCACTGCCACCTCCACCCAATTTTGCAGCAGCAGTTGACAGTCCCAGCCCTGGGCCTGGCCCCAAGTTCGTGTTGGAGTGAGAGCCGAAGGCACAGCGGCTGCCTATTCCCCCGCTTGTACTCAAATCCAAGATGAGTACCCATGGAGAGAAAGGGGGCTCATCTTGGATTCAAAATTAAATATGGCACAACTTCTTTGTATTATGTTTGGTTTAATTAATTAAATGTAGAAATTTTGATCAATTTTGGTTATGTTGACTTTTTTTTCAAAATAATTACCAAATGTAGTACATCATATGAAAGAAAAAAGCATTGCAATATACAGAATAGTTGTGCTTTTCTCTGAACAGTAATGTATTTTAATAAGTTCTGAAATATCTCTTGTTTTTATACAAACATTACAGAAGCCAAATTGTCAGTTTGGAAGCATTACATACAAAGTTTCTCACCTTTCAGCAGGATATGGTAGTATATGTGAATATTTTATATGCACAGACAGATTTGATTTTTCTTTTAACTCTAATTTGGTTTGTCACTTATGGCAGGAAAGAAATCAATTGCCAGCAGACATGAGGTTCAGTTTGGAGGTAATTGAAGTCAGACTGTGACAAATAAATCCTTCATGTTAATTAATAGAAACAACCTGTTGTGACAAGAGACCCCTAATTAGTCTTCCATTTAAAGATGTAACAACGCAGATGATTGTCTGGAAAATGTAGATAATTCAGCAAATGAAGTTGAGATAATTAAAATATTGAGAAATAATGCTCCAGTTTCAACCAAAATGATATATTTGCATCTCAATTTGTGGTCATTTGAGTGTGTTACTATATATCAGCTCAGGTACTGTTTTTTTGAAACAAGGTCATTGTATTCAGTGAATCACATTTTCATTTCCCAGAGCTTAAGAAGTGAATTTAATTCAACAAAGTCTAAGCTTTATTGTTTAATTATCTGTGTTTCCTTACTTGACTTTAATTGGCAAAGCTTACAGAAAAGTAAAGGCATATGGTTAGAATTTCAGTTGGTCTGAGAAATAAAATACACATGGTGAACTAAGATTAAACTGATTACAGTGTTTGATTTTAAATTTACACTATCAACATAATTACACAATCTACAAAATCTTTACACTGTTGTTATAGAAATATTATAAGATTGCTCTTGAAGTGTTGAGGAAAAATACTTCCATATTTCTGCATTTGGAATGTTATGTTTTGCCGTGTTCACTTTTACTTAAAGAAAAACATTTTAAATATATGAAAATGAGATGGAAAGGTATAGTACCCAAATGCAAATAAGATGCATATTTTCAAATATATGTCAAATTGAACATGTCTTTCTATATGTGTTTGTTTGGATATAATTTCTGTTTATCAAGTCTTTAATAATCAAGACCCTGTGGGCTTTTTGACAACAAGAACTGAATTTTGTATGAAGATGTTATTTTTGGTGCAGGCTGGACTGAATACTGTGGCACATTGCTTTTTTGGTTTCCTGGAAGTAACTATAGAAATCTCAGAGAATTAATTGAAGATGGAAAGTAACAGGATAGTATACTGCAATGTGTCTTATGTCATTTTTGTTTTGATATTCTAGTTAGTAGAAATCTCAGTTTTGGAATGTGCTTTAATTGATGTTTGCATGAGATTTTGTATCTGTTGCATAAGTTTAGAAGTTTTAGATGCAAGTCTTGAGAGATGATTCGAGCTTTACTATTGTTACTCCATGATATGCTTCTCTTTCTGATAATATTGAATAGATTTGTTAGGTGGGTTTTACTGTTAAAATATTTACTCAAGAAATCCTTGCTAACATCCCCATTGTTGTTAACATCCCAAGAAGAATGTGGTAATGATTGTTTTGTGGTGTTTGAAATCTGTACAGTATCAGTTTTCTTTGCTAGATAAAGCCTTCACAGCCGTAAGGCTTATTTAAAATGCAACTATTAGATTCGGGATCAGAAATCTGCAGTGGGATAGATTCTGTGGCTGTAGAATTATAGAAAGCAGATGGATGTTTCACTGTCAGATTTGTTTTACTTGCTGAAAGCACATCACAATTGCACTGGTTTGTGTAACCATCTAGACATTTTTCATTAAACTTGGATTACTTCTCTTGGGGGTGTGTGTGTGTGTGTGGTTTTTTTTGTTTTGTTTTTTCATATAGTGACAGATGGACAGTAGCCTCTGAACTAATTGTTGTCTTTTGTTTACAGGCTGCTGAATCAGGAATAATAAAAGTTAAAACAATAGCTGCACGAAACACTGATGTTCTGACAGGTAATTATTTATTATACCAATCCAAAAGGGCAAATGAGTTTGTCTTGCACAAAAAAAACTTGTAGAAAGATGTTTTGGATAAATACAATCATTGCTTATGATGGAATATGCTTCCTAGGGCATAGAAAAAAATCCAAGAATATTTGGGAATTTTGTGCCGTACTATCCCTGCTGTTTCTATATTGACATTGCTGAGAGGCTCTACATTTTCTGTGGATCTTCTACAGAACTGTTCAGTGAGCACACAAAAAGCAATAAAAGTATTACCATCTCAGTATTTCCAAATTCTCAGTATGCGTTTTCCCATTCTGCTGTAGCATCTGGTCAGTTGTATGCTATTCCAGTGATGTGCAAGTGTTGTCTATGAACTTTTACAATATGATTCTCAGGTGCTTGTCTGTTTAATTGAAGAATCTAGCCTGAAGAAACTAGTTTCCAGCAGGCAATGATTCATCTTAATTTGTACAGTATAGAGGTTTTTCAATTTGAGATACAGTATTGCCTTTTGGGACTGGACTTATCTGTGACTGGAACTCTGTATCCACCTACTTTTTTTTTTTTTTAAACAGTCTGTTTTGCTTTTTGCAGCTTTATTCAACTGCGTATAAGCTGGTTTCTTGTAGATAGCTATTAAAGCTCTCAGCAGCGTTCCCCAACAAGGGGAACATTTGGAGGCCCCTGTATTAATCCATCATTGCTCAGCTCAGCAGTACAATATAACTTCATGAATCCAGCATGCTCGGGACCGAGCACCTGCTGGAAATATGAAAATTTCATGATTTTTTTTTGAAACCAAGGCACCAGCCAGACCCAGAGTGACTCGGGAGGGGGAAGGGTAGCAGTGGCTGGTCCCAGAACAGCGGCCACACAGGGTGTGGGGTGGTGGATGGCAGTGGCAGCCACCTTGTGCAAACTTCCGCCTCCACTGCTCCGGGACCGGCCGCCACTACTCCCTGATGGAGTGTAGTTTTAAAAAGTGCTGGATTTTTGATAATTCCAGATTTTTGGTATACTGCACTTATGTAAGGTTCTTGCAAGACATGAGCTGTTTGAAAGATTCAAATAAGATTATATGAAATGTAAGATTATTCTTACATTCCCTTTTTAAAGAATTTTGTTTTTAGAAATGTAAAAATACTGTTAAGGAGGCACTTTTTCAAATACTTGTTTAAAAAAAAAAAAGAGTAGCTCCGTCCCTCAATATTTTACTTTAAATGCTTCTCTTTTATTTGTTTGTTTTTATTGCTGTCATGAATGCTGACATAAGTGGGAAAACTATGCCAGGTAATGTCAGCTATGCATCAAAATACACAAATAGACAAGGAAGAAAATTTAATTAACCCATTTGGGAAACTAACAGGGTTCTGTAGCTATACAGACTTCAAGTTGAAACATCTAGCTCATATCTCTGTAAGATGCATTTTTCATTCCCAGGTGGAGGAATTGTGAGAGGTCATGGCAGTCTGGGTATAGCTGTAGTACGGTTGGAGTGTCATAGCCATGGTGGTCCAGGAAATATGCAAAAAGCAAGGGTATTTTGGTGATATCTTTTTATTAGACCAACTGTATAGTTGAAAGAGTCTTTTTGTCTTTAAAGGAATACTTTCAAAGTGTTTTTCATATTTTATAAGTACTTTTTTATTTGGAATCTTAAACTGAAATGTATTCAGTGTAATTTGTTTCATTCACCAACAAAGTGCACAGATGCATATTTTAGTTATAAGAATAGTTGTGAGCTACAGCTACAATACAAAACTGCTTGGAATTTCCACATAATCTTGTGTATAGTACTGACTAGCTAAGCTTTGCTATTTAAATCAGATATAATCAGAGAGAAATTAATTGATGGGGAAACATGCATGCCTGCCATGGAGCTTTGTGTGTCAACATCTCACTTTATAGTTTGTCTTGAGAGGTAGTGACTAACCGTGTTAGACTGAAGTCAGGCAGAAAGCAGGGCAAGGTGACACATTCAAGCAGTGGTTCTCAATCATTTGGGGGTCAAGGAACCCCACAGCCACTTTTTTTTAATGTGGCACCACCCTGTTGAAGAACCACTGTTGGTCCTGTCTCATTTTACCCAAGTGCTTCTTCGCCCTGGTTCTGCTGCCAGAAAGAGCAACAGTGATATAATGCCCTGTGTTGCACAGCCAGCCCAGGAAGGGCTGAGCCACTTGTGTGCACTCCTCCTGTATTAGAGCTTTGATCGACCTAAAGCAGGCAGGAGTTGCCTTGTGCTATGCATCTCTTTCTTGTCTGGCATCCCCAGTACTCCTTCTGGAAATGGAAGCAGATGGGAGAATTCCACCATATCTTTTTCTGGGAGGAGTTTAGGGAGGTGAACTAGAAAGAGCTGCACTGAGACAGCTTTGTTGCCTGCTTCAGCATCCTAAAGCAGGCAACAAAGACCGCCCTAGTGGAAAGGAAGCATACAGGAAAGTTTTTTAATCTGGCTGCTGCTTTCATGGCACCCCTGAGAGGGCCTCACAACACCCCAGTTGAAAGCCACTGCATTACAGATTAACTGGTTCAGTGAGGCATGAGCTTTCAAAAGTGACCATCTACTTTGGATGTCTCATATCTAATGAAGTATCTTGTTGCTTACAAAACCTCATGCCTCTTTGAGCCAGTTAGTCTCTACGGAGCCACCTTACCCTGCGTTCTGCCAATGTTTAGTGGTGATAGTCTCTATAAGGCAGTGGTCACCAACCAATGGATCTTGATCCAGTGGTAGATCTCGGACCTCTTGCGGTAGTTTTCAGAGCCTCTTGGAGTCAACCCAAGGATGCGGTGGGGGGATGAGTGCCCGCATACATGTACGTGTGTGCCTCAGAGCAACAGGTCAGTTAGTGGGGGAGGGAAGGGTCAGGGCCTAGATCAAGCGCCCCTTGGTGAGGGACAGTGCCACAGAGGCAGGAGCTGGGGTAAATTGAGGGGGGGCCCCGTCTGGGTGGGACTTATTTGCTGGGAAGGTGCACCCCCAAATATTTTTTACCCTCTGCCTCAAACTGCACCCCCTACCCATAGACTTTCCTGCCTTGTGTGGGGGCGGTGCATGGTAGATCTTGGGTTGCTTTTAAATGCCAACGGTGATCTCCTACTTAAGAAGGTTGGAGACCACTGCTTTAAGGGCTTTGCCAGTTTTTTAAATATTTTTTTTTCAAATTGTCAGCATTTTTTATGTAGCTCTAGATCAGTGACTGCTTCTGTTAGATTTAGTCTTACTTCCCTTCCTCTTTCCCCCCCACCTTGCATTTTATACAGATTTTGGAGAAGGATACGTGCACACTGTTGCAGCTGAAGATTACTCCAGGGTTAGAGACAGAAGTTACACACAAACTGGTTTAAGTCATCAGAAACTGGTTTAAACCTGTAACAGAACAGAAGTTTAGTACACATAAACCAGTTTCAGAATGACTGAAACTGGTTTAGGATAAACCTGGTTTAATGTAATATCAGACTTAACTGATTTGGGTCAAATTTGATTTATGAAACTTATGTTCCGGACCCCTTCCTGGTTTAAGCTAAATCAGTCCCTCAGCATCCCAGCATGCTTTCCAGCCCTGGGCTGGGGTGTGCTGTCTGGTCCATCAGTGAAGGGTTGGAGGGAGGGACTGCTTCTCCTCCCTTCCCTCGCCCCCCAGCAAACCCTGGCTGGAATCTGAGGCTGGGGTGGAGGAGGGGCATTAAACCCCTCTTCCCCTAGTTAAACCCTCCTTCCCCTGAGTACAGTTGCCCTGCCTTGCTAAACTTACTGAAGTTGCTGGCTGCACCTGCGGACTACAAATTCCAGAGGCAGGAAGAGGAAGTGATGAACAACGCTGCAGAGTCCCACTGCTGTAATTCTGGGCTGCAAACCCTAGAGACCTCAGGGGCAGCAGGAAGAGGAAGTGAACACACAGTCCATGCTAGCTACGTGCCAGAGAGCTATGCTCTAGCACCCCCCCAGGTGCAGGCATGTGGCTGCATTTCCTGAATCAAAAGTAAACGTAACCAGTTGTTTCTCAGTTTAATCTCTGTAGTTTAGACTACCCTGCAAAGACTGAATCGATTCAGGCTTGGACTTTTTGACTGTTTGTACTTAGCCTAGTTGAGAAATTGAATGCATTAAGCATTATAAGTGTTAATTTTTTTAAGAGAAGTGTTGGTGACCTGTGAAATGTATGTTTATCAGGGCCTGCATCTAAATGTTCTTAGTTTAGTGCTTTTGTTTTGGATGAAAACATCTATCCAGTATAAGTTAAAAAATTTAATTCCAAAGGCTAATTGATGGGGTTTTTTTAAGAGAAATGAGTGCATTGTGAATTCTGATGTTAATTATCAAAATAGATATCTTTGTAACTTTAAAAAGATGGTAGATAAAATTCAGATAAGCTAAAGTGCATTTTAACTTCTCAGAAATAGAGTTAATTGTTTTGGTTCTCTTAGAGCCTTGACGTTGCTGTAACATACAATCTTAAGTTTTTACATGGCTTTCAATGCATTTGTGATCTCCCCAGTATTTCCCTCCTGATAGTAACCTTGAGTTTGAACTGTGGCATATAAATGATAAGTTATTTTTACATGTTTGGCTTTGACACATTTCAAAAAACCTTTACACATTTCAAAAAACTTTATTAAACTAATTTAATAAAACGTATTAATGGTGTTTTGACACCATTAATATGTTTTATTAAATTAGTTCTGCTTTAAAAACACTTAGTTTAACCTTTTTTTTGTAGACGAAGTAACATTTAGGTCGGTTGGTCGGTCTGTCTGTCTGTCTACTTTATCTCCAAAATAGATTAAGTGTTTTTAAAGCAGAACTAATCGATCAATCAAATAGTGTCATAAAGTGCAGCAGACCTTGATGCAACTGAATATCTCGCTTTTAAGATTGAAATTAACGTCTGGATCAATATTTGGTATAGCTGAAGTGTTTAACAAGTGTTAGATTGAGCTTTGTAGGTAAAAACAATTCTCTTAAATTTTCACGTTGTTTATGGATAACTATGAAAATCTGGTAGAATAATTTTCATGTTTTATGTCTATTAAAATTGTCCATTTTTCTTTAGCTGTTTCCCCTTGCCTGTTAGTATGTGAACACCTTTTTTTTCCTTCCATTTCACAATTGTACTGGGGGTCTTTACTTCTGTTCTAACTTATTTATAGTGCCACGTTCCATTAGAATTCAATGACAGCTTGGAAAAAATTGTAAACAAAAGCACTTTGGTTCAATTGTCAAAAATTACAATTCTTGAAAACTCATTTTGTTAGACAATCATCCAGCTTTTTTCCTAGAAGGCTAATAGTTATAGTTACAAGCTTGTGTGCCTGTGCCTCCTTGAGCAAAGCAGATTGCTTTTTAGTTTTTTTATTTGGCTTTCAGTTTTAAAGTTTTTATACATTTTTGAAATAGCCACGATAGATGAGTGAGTGACTTGTGTTACTGTAAAAATTCATGAATAACACTATAATTATTTTGAACAAGTATTCAGTGTTGGAGCTATAATATCCAAATCTAGGCATCTGAAAAACTGTTTATACGTCCCAGTAGTGGCTGTGAAGAAAGTGTCATACTGTGGGCTAATATTATAATTTCAAAAACCCTTATAACATGTTTTTGTAGCTTTTAACTTCTTGATATCACTTCTAACATCCGTAGAATTTTTTTTTCTTATCTGGAATCGGGACAAAAAACTTGCATCAAAAAAAACACCAGTGAACTAGCAAATCAAAAAGTGGTTTAGGTTAATCAGTATTTCTAACTTTTTTTTTTTCTTTGTGCCCCTTTTATTTTTAACTTTAATGTTACTGATATTAACTCTGAATGAAAAATAATTTCAAATGGGGGGGGGGGGGAGAATTTTCCATTCTGAAAAATGTTGAAATAGGTTGATTTGTATTTGGTTGGTTGGTTTGTTTTTAAAGGAGAGAGAGATTGAAACTGATTCTTCCACAACTGAATTAATTAAAAAATAATTTTCTAACCAAAGAAATATAGAGATATAAATAAATAAAAATAATTGGCATATCCATAACTCTGAATGATCTTTTATACCTCCCATCATTCAAGGCAACATGTCTGTTGATAAATTATGTTTTGATTTTTCCCTGCCCACTCTGGTCTGCATTTCTGTGTCTCTTCATACTATGCATGTAATACCTCAGTGGGGCAACTATTTGCACATGAATATCCAGTAGTATGAGGAGTAAGGAGTGTGTTAATGTGAGACTGTGAAGACTGTGAAGAACCTGGATTTCTTAAGGATAGGAAGTGGCTTACAAGTGGCTTATTATAAGCCATAATAACCTAAAGAACATTTAGGGTTGGGGAAAGGTAATAGAAGCATCAGGCTGAGTAAGACAGATACCCAAGGCATAAGAGAATGGTGGCAGTGGGATGTGAGGGAGGATAGCTAAGGGAAAACAGGACAAAGTGCTCTGGTAAGCTAGGTATTAATGAGAGTAGTGACAGCTCTCTTTCTGCACCTAGTTGCTTTTCTTCCATTATTTCTAAGATTGTAGATTCCTTTTGTTTCTGATTAGGATGTATATAACTAGTAGTATTTACAATTTGTATGCTTTTGCCTTTACACTGTTCAAAGTTGTAAATTGTTAAGAATTGACCAGGCTTCTTTTATCTCTATTCAAAAGCATTGAAAGAGAACAGCTCAGAGGTAGTTCAGCCCTTTCTAATGGGTTGTGGAACAAAGGAACCAAAGATCACACAGCTGTGTCTAGCAGCCATACAGAGACTCATGTCACATGAAGTTGTTTCAGAGGTAAGGTGAAACTGTGGGAAAATATTATCTGGCATTAATATATTTGAAGGATTAAGTGTTTTAACAAAAGATACTTTTTTTAAAAACTCAAAATGCTATTCAAGAGTGAACACATTTTTGTACTTTAGAATGAACATAATCTTGTGGATGATGTTTCTAATTGCAAATAATTTCTGAAGTTAAATCTACCACTTGAGAGCCAAAGGAAAAATGAATGAAATAAAAAATATGATCGGTATCTGTTTATAGACTGTATTCAAATAGTTGGAATCCTTAGCTGGTTTACTAAGAATTATCTAAAAAACACTGTTCCCAACCTTCTGTTGTCTTAGTCTCTGATCACTGCGTACCCAGGGAGATTCCTTATACATAACAAAAATAGTAGTTTAACAAGTTTGTCTAGTGTAGTTCTGATGCTGGAAAGGTCAGGGTAAATACTCAGTTATCAGCAAGTGTCATGCGTTAAGTTTCATGCGCAGTCTGGATTATGCCTGCCGATATCTATGCATTTTATATTATAATAAAGATAAAATTGCATACTATTTCTCATACATTATAACATACAACTATTTCTACAGCCAATAACTGTGAATATAATGTTTTGTGGTACTGCTTAATCTTGTGTGTGTCATAGTTTTTGAAAGTAGCACTCCGGTATGTTTAAAAATATTTATTAAGCTGTATTTATTCAACAGAATTATAGTGTATTTTTTCAGCAATTTTTATAGTTTTTAACTTAAGTGTTTTAAGTAAAGTATTTTGTAGTTAATTGCCTCATCTCCTGTGATAGTGGGAGCCAACCTTTTTGGCAGGTATGCTACAAATTATCCCTGCTCTTTGTCTGGGTGCTACTCTGATTTTTTTTTACTCTGCCTGATCTGCTGCTCTGCTTTTTGTTCTCTGCTCTGTGCTCCCTGCCTCATTTCCAGTTCTGCCTTCTGCGCCCTCTCTGATGCATCTCATGCCACACATGGAGGCTGCCTGCCTGTGGCACTTGTGCTGCAGATTGGCCACTCCTGTTCTATGAAAACTTGCGCTTCCAGTTGTAAAATAACTGTATGTTGATAAGATGTTTAAAAAATGTGTTTTTAAAAAAACCTACATACATAAAAGTCTCCAAACAGTATCTAGGACATTGAAATTAGTGTTTCATATTTTATTTGTCCTTTTAAGATTGTAGGAAAAACTGAATTCAGTTCAATATATGTGTGAGTGTTTTTTATATGGATATGGAAGCATGGTACTGGGTGTCAAGTTTTTATGTACTTTAATTGAACGTATACACTTCTATCTTTATAGGCTGCAGCTGGGAATATTATTAATATGCTTTGGCAGCTGATGGAAAATAGTCTCGAAGAACTCAAATTACTTCAGACAGTTCTTGTGCTTCTAACAACAAATACCGTTGTACATGATGAAGCACTGTCCAAGGTAGGAATTTGATGTAAAATACAATAATTAGGATATAATTATTAATTTTAAAGTAAATCCGCTGAAGGAATATACTTATTTAAAAGTTGCAGTTTAGGCACCAATCTGTAAGTGCTCATATATGTGTAAAGTTACACTTGGAAGCATAAGGTACAGTGGATAGGCATAAATGTTTGATAGAGGTGCACCAATACATCAGTCTGATACCAGATTGGCATCAATATAAAGATAACTGCCTGTATTGGAAATTGGCCTGATGTGGCTAATAAATGCCTTGTGCATTCATGCAGCTGCAGCCCGGCATATAGGCATGGCTTGTCTAGGGTGAGGTGGGAGGGTGGCGGCTCCTGTCACTGCACACACCCCAGGAGGGTATCCCCTAGATATGCACGGGGCAGGCTGGCGCTGTGCCATGCTCATCCTGGTGGGGGCTGGACCAGGCTGCGCTCGGGGTTGGGGGGTGGCGGGGTATGGCAAATTTTGGGATGGGTGCAGCCCTCCCTATAGCCCCTTCCCAGCGCTGCTGCCTGGCCTGAGTGCAGCCCGGCCCAGTCCCTACTGGGAAGAGCCTGCCACAGCCCTGGCTGCAGCTGCAGCCCATCCTGCCTTGCCCAGATTCAGGGGCACACCGCCCTCCCTCCCCCATTCCCTCCCAGGGTGTGTGCAGCAGCTGGAGCCGCCAGCCCTTCCCCACGCCCCCGGATGAGCCATTCATGGCTCCGTCCTGCACCCTGCTCTGCCCCAGCTGGGCAGTCCCAGCACCACTCCCTCTCTCACCATGGTGGCTTCAGTCTGTCTTCCCCTTTCCCCTCCACCACAACAGACTGACCAGCTGGACACTGGTTTTCAAGCCACCGGGCTGTGCATCAGAAATTGGATCAGTATCGGCTGATATACCTCCTTTAAAATTGGCTATCGGTATCGGCCCCGAAAATCTCTATCAGTGCACCCCTAGTGTTTGGCCATATATATTTATAAAATATCAGTTCAGACTTGTGCACAGATTCATTTTAATATTTATAAAGTGGGAACGTTTTAGACATCTGTAACATTGATATATAGAAAGCACTTTTTCATTTAAATATTCAAAGAAAATAATAAAGATTATTTTATTTTTTCATTCAGAAGTTGCAACTTTTAAGTCCTGACTTTTTCAGATAAGTAGAGTGTAAAAATGGGTGCTTTGTCATCAGAAACCATTTTTCATTTAAATAACTTGAAGTACTTTATTAAGGAAGAATGTAATTGTATCCCCTTTTAATTAATGGGAAAAATTGAGTTGTTTGTGATTAAATATTTGGCCGTTGTCCATCTGATATAACTTGAAGGAATAATCAGTTCCCAGCTGCCTCTTGTTGTGATGTTTCCACACTCTTAAGGTCACATCCATTATTGAGAAATATTAAAAAATGAAATCTGTTTATAGGCGTTAAATAAGTCTCACTTTTCCCAGTGTTGCCCATTAAAATAAATTCTATAATAAGGAAATATCAAGAACTTTAAACAATCTTGTTAATATCTGATAACCTATAAGCTACAAGATAAGAAAAAAGATTGTTACAATACAGTATTTTAAACAGTTGAAAGAGGATTTTTCTTTGTACCTGAAGATATGACCTATTATTAATTTGTCTTTATTGGTAGTCATTTTAAGGTGTCTCAGTGAAGCTGGCAAAATATTGGTAGTACACATTGGATTTGTGGGATTTGAATACAGAATGTGTGCTAATGAAATACTCCAATATGCTATTTTGACCAATTTCGTACACATCCTTTCTAAAGAAAATATCTGCAGATTACAGTTGCATGTGTAGTAATGTGTTAACCAAAACATGACCTTGTATAGCAAAGATCTGAGTTAAGCCTTTTCATTTGAATCACTTTGATTGTAATAGAAAATGACAGACAAGGGCATTAAATGCATCTTTTGTTGATATTTTTTATCTTCACTATAAGATCTTATCAATTGAAATGATGGTAGTTTCTTTTTTAAATTTAAAATGTTAAATAGATCTAGTAGTTCTTCTTAAGGCCTGATGCTTAAGAACTTTTCTCTTTCACAGGCCATGTCTTAGAAGAAATATGCTTTATTTTGGTCTTCATTCAAATAAATAGTGCCTATCCCAGGCATTCTAGACATCTTTGCCACAACATTTAACATCACACACATCCATAGCATGTGGTCGCATTCAAAGCCTCAGAGTATGGAACTTGCAAAACCAGAAGTTCCTGCTTTATTGGTAATATTTTGCCTTTGGGGTCTGAATGTCATATACCAAAATGTTGGTATGTGTATATGAGATGGTTGTTGAAATTAATTTTAGTGGCCTTTACACTCCTTTTTCTAAGAGCTTGTCATTTATAGCCCCAGTCAGAAAAGCTAGTTTATAAAGAAACTACTGAAGAGACTTGGCTTCCCTGCAAAAATATTTTATTCACCCGTAGTATTGACAAATACTAATGATTTCTTAGGCAATGGTACTTAAAAAAAAAAAACTTCTAAACCTTAAAGGAAAGTTAATATTTGACCATATAAAATTACTGCCTGATGATAAAATTGTCTTTGCTTTCTCTCTGGAAAAGTTCATGAAATAACTAACTTTTATCTAAATATTTTTTTATGGGACTAAATAATAAGATTATTTACTTAAAGTTTATTTATAGAATGTTTTTCTAATAAAATGCTGATCACCAAATTTGTTGCAACAAGTGAGTTCAGTTAAAAGTGTTTACCTAGAAAATAACTGAGGTGAAGTTTTTTAAAGTTTCTTTTTGCTTTGTTTTTTGTTTTGTTTCATTTCTTGAATGATTTGGAAACTTGAAATTGATGAAGTACTCTGCTGTTTTTAATTCTTTCTCTGCAGCTGGACTTAAGTAATTGTTTTCTTTTAGGGTTCTTACTTGTTCTTCTGTTTTTTCCTTCTCTTCTACAAAAAGGAAATCCCTCACTATATAAGACTTTTTAATAGAGTAGTTTAAAAACAAACATGTTTCCATGGTCAGTAACTTAGCATTCTAAATGTATTAAACTACACTCATGTATCTGTATATCCTTTCTTGGCAAAATACAGTAAGAAATGTGGAACCTATGGTGCACTTCTGCTCTGAAATTGTGGCCCATATGCCAATGAGGCTTTATTAGTTGTGCTACTAGGCACCCTCCTGATACCTATTTCCTAAATAGTTCTTGTGTTGTTGGCAGGACTGCCTTTTGAGTCAGGCCTGTAATAACAGTCTAGCAAAATTTAAAGGTAGACCATGTTAGATGCCATCTTTCATTTGAAGCAGGATAGTGAAAGTTCTGACCCAGATATATCTCAAATTCTATGGTACTTTTTGCCAGAGCAGTTTAGTTCAGTTTAATTGAAGAATTCTGTGCATCAGAATTTCCCTTTAGAGCTTAGATTTTATAGGGTTTTTTTTTCCTTCTCATTTTAAACAAGGCTTTGAAATGTGTTCTGAAATGGTTGTCATAGTCTTGAGCTCTAAAGTTAAAGCATAGGTTAAAAAATACTAGGTTTGGTTTAGGGAACAACTTGGAAATCCTTCTCAGATGTTGATCCAGATAAATAGACTTCTCTCTCTTCTCATACACCCTGAATTGCTTGAAAGGTGGTCATTAAAGAGATATGGATTATCTAACAATCACGTTTCTTTGTAATATATGTATCCATTATTTTTATGTAGAATACCTAAGCTTTAGTTGGTAGATGTTGCACTTACGCACTTAACTACAATTGTCAGACAGGTTAAGGCATTGGGTTCTTTTTTCTGGATCGCTTTCTTCTCTTCTTCCTTGGAAATTTAGTTGATAGTTTTTATTACTATCACCCAGATGCACTCAACTAGAAACAAGACAGTTTTATCCAGGACCACTAATGGCTGTTGCATGTGGAAGTTTAATATCGTAAGGCAATAGGAAATTGTTCTGCTCTTTATGCTTTTTTACACAGAGCTAGTAAGGAGATTGAGGGCCTACATAGTGTGTACTTTATTGGTAGGGACCTACCAAATTCACGATGGGAGTGGGGTGCACTGTGACTCACTTAACCTTGCAGGATCCTCTGCACTCCCTTCTTTCCCCGTGGCTGATTGGTGGAGAGGCCCTGCTTGTGGCTTGCTCCTCATCAGTGGGGAGGTGAAAACTGTGATTTTAAATATGGTGATGTTTTTGCCTCCCACCACTGATTGGCTGAGGGGCTCTGGATGGCCCTGCTGTTTGCTGCTGACTGGCAGGGAGGCAAAAACGCCACCATATTTAAAACTGCGGTTTTAGTTTCCCTGCTGATCAGGAGGGAGTGGTGGGGCCCTCTGTTAATCAGCAGTGTGGGGGGAGGGGGCAGCAAGGGGTGAGGTGTGTGCAGAATTAAAGGAGCTGCTGTGCACTCTACTTCTGCTGTAAATTCAGTAGGTCCCTATTGCTTGGGCTTGGCTATTCAGATTCTTAATATTGATGACACATTCTGAGCTGTGTTTTTTTTTTTTTAAAGTTGATTTACTATTATTTTGGCCCTTTCTCCAAGTTGGGAAAGAACAGACAGGAACTGTAGTCATTACCTAACTAGCTAGAGGAGCAGTATTTTTAAACAGACTTGTTTGTGTCCTTTAGTTTCAGTTCCCCTTTCTGTTTCTATGGATCTTTCACACAGCAAAAGTGGGAAAAGACATTTTGCAAATAGGAAAAAGTCATTGTAATTCCTCAAAAACTGGCATGGTGACGGGCAAATGTAGGGTCTGAAACTACTTTCAGCTCTTCAAATTGATTACATATGATGTGGACAGTATCTGTTTCATTCTATGCTATAATTTTTTTTATTGCTAATTCCTTTTTTTGAAGATTTTTCTTTACTCATCTTTTGAATTGCTTGTTCTTTTAATTTCACAGTTTAAGAGGTTATATTTAACTTTATTTCTGTTGGTTCTAGTTAGGCTGTGTGTAACTTCTTGTACTGGGGGTAGCTTTAATATAATGCATATACATTTTAGGTATTTTCTCATTC